CCGTACCCCTTTACATTCTCAGCTGTGCTTTAATCATCAACCACGCGGTCCTCACATAGATGACTTTTTAAAGAAGCACAGTCCTCAAGGGTGTTAGTTTTATTTTGTATGCAAATCTGTGACTTAGCTAAAAGGGGCTAGCTGTTCAGCTCAAGGTGTCAGGAGAATCTCCAGGCAATCAGTCTAGGTGAATCCTCCAGTCGCAACGAGGAGTTTTTATTGTTGGTTTTCCTTTTTAATATTTTCCACATTTTTCCCCATTCTATCGGGGTCCGTGTGTTGTAGTCCTCATAGGAATGGCAGGTGGTAGTGGCCAGGCACCACCTGGTTCTTCTAGTCTCAGAGTAAATCAGGTTGTTTACGTGGGCTACTAGTTCTGTAGACTAATTTAGTTTCCTTCTTTCTCTTTTGCTCCAGACTAGAAGGGACAGTAGTTTGATCAAGCCTTTAAGACAAGACGAAGCCAAAACCCACTGCCACTGGGTTGGTTCCAACTCATAGTGATTGTACAACACGTTTTTGAGGCTATAAATCCTTACAGGAGAAAGCTTCCCCTTTCTTCCACAGAACGGCTGGTGGGTTTGAACAGGGGCCTTGCAGTTAGCAATCCAACGCTACAGCGCCACCAGGCATTGATCACTAAACTAGTGCGTAGAACATAAATTTTATGAACTTTATCATGTCAACTGACCAAGATGCTCCGCACACAAGGGGTATCTTCACACCTAGGAAACAAGTCCTGAGAGGCATTTCATTATATCTAAAAAGTACCTCACGGGGTTCCTATGTGTTTCACTGTTCGGTTGTTGTTGTTAGATGCTGTGGAGTCGGTTATGTGCACAACAGAAAAAACCACTGCTCGGCCCCGCACCATCCTCACTGCTGTTCTTCAGCTTGAACCCATCATTGCAGCCACTGGCCAGCAAGATCCCACCCATCATGTCCAACATCATCTTCCTTTTCGCTGACCCTCCACACTTTCCAAGCGTGATGTCTTTCTCCAAAGATCAGTCTCTCCTGTCAACATGTCCAAAGTACATGAGATAAAGTCTTGCCATCCTTGCCTCTAAAGAGCATTTAGGCTATAATTCTTCCATGACAGATGTTTGTTCTGCTGGAAGTCCAGTGTATTTCCATATTCTTCACTAGCACCATAATTCAAATGCATCGACTCTTCTGGCGTCTTCCTGACTCGGTGTCCAATGTTCTCATCCATTTAAGGCTACTGAAAATACAAGGTTTTGGGTTAGGCACTGTGGCAGTCACATAATCTCCTGTCAGCTTTCAAAGGGGTGGAGTTCAGCCTGTCAATCAGGTCACAGCTCATTTGGAGGCACTATGGAGATAAATACCATATATGCTCAAGTAAAAACCGACCCGAATATCAGCCAAGGCATCTAATTTTACCACAAAAACTGCATTAAAAATGTGCTGGAAAACTCGGCTTATACACAGTATATATGGTAGCTCACTGGAGGCCAGGCACACTCTTTCTGCTTGTCTCTCTGCAAGACATTCCTGATGACAAGCCACATGGGCTACACTGATGGAGCCAGAGCCCTGGACCTGGAGGAGCCATGTGGAGACCCACACCAGCGCTGAGATGCTTTCATCACCACTGGATCCATAAGATTTTCCACCCACTGGCCTTTGATCTTCCTGCATTCGGCATCAATACATGTGTTGCATGCGTCTGAAGAGGAATTTATAAACTGGCATTGGACATATGGGCTAATATCAGACTTATGGACTTGAACTGGGCTGGGCTGTTTTCTTAATATACAATTACTCTTTGATATAAAGTTCTCTCTTACACACATATGTATTAATAAATGCAATAGCATCACACACATGCATATATACATACCTATGCATATAGTTATATATGTATATGTGTGTATTTATACACACGATGACATTTATGTACCCACATGCATGAACATATATCTATACATCTTTGATTATTACAAAATTACACAATGCCATAGCAACTAGAAAAAGATCCTCTTTTCCTGAGTACATTTAGTGACCAGTTACTTTCATTAAGTTGTGCACCTCTCATCCTAGTATGTTATTACATTTCCTATTACCAAAAGTACCAAGGTTCTACATCTAGAGAGTGAATCCCTCTCCCCACCTCAACGCCACTCCCGCCATCCCTGGTATTCACTAAGGGGACATTTATTTTCTGTATATTTGCCTATTCATATTATTGCATAAATGTGAGAACACAGTATTTGTGCTTTTGTGACTGACTTATTTCATCCAACATCATGTCCTTCCTATCTTTGTTTCAAAATGTTTGGGGGAACTGAGTAATATCACTGAATAGTATTCTACTGTATGTAAGACACCACATTTTATATATTTATTCATGCACTGATGGGCACTTAGACTACTTCTATCATTTTGCGATTGTGACTACTGCTGTAATGGACACAGGTTAGACTCTCTCTGTGTCATGTTTATCACAACCCTAACGTATATAGATAGGGCAGTGGCATTTTTTGGTCACATGACACCTCAATTTCTAGTTTGTCTTTGTTTTTTTGAGAAATGCCAGACTGTTTTCAGCAACAGCTGTACCTTTTTACATTCCTACCAGCAATGTATAAGGATTCTAATTTCTCTACAGCCCCTCCAACACTTGTGATTTTCTATTATTGTTAATCTGAGCATCCTAGTAGGAGGGAAACTGTACCTCATTGTGGTTTGCACTGTATGTCAACGATGGCCAATGGTATTGAACATCTTTTCATCCGTCTCCTGGCCATTTAAATATCCTCTTTGTTGTAACAGTTCATACGCTTTGTCTAGCTATTTGCAGATGTCTTCCACGTATTTAGTTATTGGACTCTTACCAACTATGCCAGCTAGCATAGTGGACTGGGCGTTCCGAGGCTAACAAAGCCGGGACCCAACAGTCACTCTCCAGGGAAAAGGCTGTCTACACCCATGAAGATTTAACGCCTTGGAAACCCTATGGGCAGCTCTACTCCAGGTTGGTATGTGTCAGAACTGACGAGATGTCAGTGAGGTTTTCAGTCTAGAGGTTTGCTCTTTACTCTTTTAACAGAGTTTTTTGATGAACAAAGAATTTAGCTTCTGCGAAGTTACAATTACCTATTTTGTTTTCTGTTGCTCTTGTATTCACTGTTATATTTGATCATTTATCTTGGGCCAAGATAAATGCCCCAAAACTTTGGCCCTATATTTTCTCTCATTCAGATTTTAGATTTAACATTTAGGTCCTTTATCCAAATTGAATTAGTTTGTGTGTTTGGTATGAGGTATGAATCTGTTCAAAATGTCCATAACCAGAAATGCAGTTTTGTCAGCACCACTTGTTAAGGAGGGTGTTCCTTTCTCCATCGAAAAGATCTGACTCTCTTCGCAAGTGCCAATTGACCTTAGAGCAGTGGTTCTCAACCTTCCTAAGGCCGCGACCCTTTAATATAGGTTCTCAGGTTGTGGTGACCCCCAGCCATAAAA